GGTGTTATAAAATTTTTTAAATTGGTTCTCAAAAACCAGTCTTTACTCATGATGATGTACACTACTTTAGTCTTTCAGAAATATGGAGAAAACCAATCTTTGTATAAGAATTGTTTTAAACTAGATGTGATATTTTTCATTAATATATTACTACTGAATTTTTTTCCCAAGAGTCTGAAAAGACTGATAATTGTTAGGGTTCTATTGTAAAGCATACTGAACAAAAAGCATAATCAGTTAAGTAATGAAGAGGGAATTTTTCAATGTACAATAGCATTTTAGAGTTGATATCATAAAAGAGTGTTTTAGACCAAATGTAGACACTGACAACTTCCTTATTAAATAATTTCTTTAAACTTAAAGGTTTTGGAGAAATGTTCTGAGAAGTCCCTCAGAAGTCATCTAATTTTTCCATACTTGACTTTTGGGAGTTGTAATTTGCTGTAAATTGCCATGTTGTCTCTGAGCCATTTTCATACACCTTATTTGCTGTCTTTCCCTATAACTCTCTCAGTGGCTCTTCCTTAACAATTGTCTGTTGTCCTAGATCTCGCACAAGCTCAACAGCTCCCCAGGTCATCTTGAATCACTATGCAATGCTTATGATGATTTCTTTTTCTTGCTTTATAAATGAAGGAACAATGAAAGTGTAAAAAAAATTCTTTGTAAAAAATACATTTCTTTCTTTGTGGTGGTCCAAATTCCACTGGATATTACTTAGTTTTGTCATAAACTAGTTTCATATTGTACTATGTAATATTTTATTCATATAATTCTCAGGAGTGCACTTACTTTTCATATTTTCTCTATTCCTTTAGGCAAATCCTCCCAGTTTTTATTTTTCTTCTGTTTCCAAGGCTCTGCTTTCATTTTCACATTTCATTAGCAGTTAATTTAAAAATGCAATTAGAAAGAATTCCTTTGAGGATAGCAGGCAAAAATTGGCTTCTTTCTGCTCAATTCTTGTTAAAGAGCATGGGAAGATTCTTTTCAACTAAGAATGTTTAGAACAGAGGCCAAAAAAAAATCTCTAGCAAATTATTGCTATTTTGGCATTAGTATAGTATGTGTATGGACCATTAAATAAATCTTACCCCCTACATTTGTCTTTTAGGTGGATTTAGCAGTAATTAAGCCAGTTGAAAGGTAAGCTTTTGATCCCTGGTTTCTTTAAAAGTAAAAATAGCACTGTATGTTTCAGGTTCTCTTTAACAAAATATCAGGTTTTTTTGCTCTGTGTTTAATCCTCAGCTTTGAATAGTGTACATGAAACATGACTCTTGAGTTAAGAGAGTTCAAAGAATCCAGGAATGTTTTGTAAAATTATCCAGGAGACTTTCTTAAAATACTCCAAAATGCACCAGGGTCATTTGCAGAACTTCAGAATGTCTGTAGGATATGCCAGTGTATCAAGGTATGGCAGCTTCTAATTACTGACTTTTTGATGTTATAAGAGCAAATTATTCTGGGGAAAATGAAGTAGAAAATTGCAAAAGCATGGAGTCTTTATAAGCATGTAAAAGAATATCCCAGGGAAGCTGCTGTTGACCTTATTAATAATAAAAGGGGAGCTTAAAATCAGAAGGATCTTGACTCTCAGCAGCTGGTTAGTTGTTCTGTCAAGATGGCACACAGTCATCGTTAGCCACAATTCTCTGGCTGATGATTCTGTGTTGAAAAGTCCTCCATATTTTTTTGAGAGATCTGTTTTATTTCATTTATTTGTTCTTACTGTGCTGGGTCTCTGTTGCTGTGTCAGCTACTCTCTAGTTGCGGTGCGCGGGCTTCTCGTGGCACTGGCCTCTCTTGTCGTGGAGCCCAGGTTCTAGGCACTCAGGCTTCAGTAGTCGCTGCTCATGGGCTCAGTAGTTGTGGCTCACGGGCTCCAGAGCACAGTCGCAATAGTTGTGGTGCACAGGCTTAGTTGCTCCATGGCATGTGGGATCCTCCCAGATCAGGGACCGAGCGCCTGTCTCCTGCATTGGCAGGCAGACTCTCCAACACTGAGCCACCAGGGGAGCAAATGTTCTCCATACTAATGGCCTGGGATTGTGTAAGGAAAATTGAGAAGTCCAAGAAAGTCCTAGCCATTAACAGGTGCCAGAGAGCATAATTGTACTCCAGGGAGGAAGAAAGATTCAGAGGTTATTTTGTATGATGATGCTCCCAACTCCAACATTGATTTGATACATTGATTCACCATTGTGGACTACATATTAAAGATTTGTAGGAGTGACTGAGTGTGTTTCTGATGTAGACTTGCTTGCATTCAAACACTAGCTCTGCTACTTAGCATGTCATCTTTGTTCCAGTTTTCATATCTGTAAAATGGGGTCATAACAGTATCTGTTTTATAGTTAGCTATGAATAGTAATGGGTATGAACCTGGGCAGACTCTGGGAGATGGTGAGGGGCAGGGAGGCTTGGCGTGCTGCAGTCCATGGGGTCACAAAGAGTTGGATATGACTGGGCAAGTGAGCAGCAACAATGTGAACAGTACAGCATGCACTGATGCAAAACACTTAAAGTTGACTGGTGCAAAGGTACTTAATAATTTTTAGTTTAACTATTACACTGAAATAAAAGTTCTAAAATACAATTCATTACTGCAGTTTCAATTTATTTCTTCCTGAACATTTTTCTGTGTTGACTGGGAACAATTAGTGTTCTTTGACTTGAAACTTATATGCTTGAATTTCAACATCAGAAGAGTGAGCGTAGAACATGCCATAGAATTATGCAGGGAGCTTATCCCCTGGAGACACTGATAAGATCTTTTGTTGGTAGGATCTGACAGGGTCATAGAGGAGGGCTTTGGATCAGTAGAGAAAAGACCTCAGTTCTAGTTCTAACTCTGTCAATGAGTATTTGACTTAGGATAAATAATAAAATTTAATGTGACAATCATTATGGCCATGACAAGCTATATAGCCTCTCATTCTAAAACTTCTGTGCAAACACATAGAAGTATTTATACTACAGTCCAGTAGTAACTGTATTAGACTATCATAAATATAATTTTCTTTTTTTTTCTTTTATGGGTATGCATTTTCTCCAAAAAGTATATTTAGTTATTACATTTTTTTCAAATTTTGTTTTAAGTATAGTTGATTTACAATATTACAGTTTCAGTTATATAACAGTACTTAAGTATTTTTCCAGATTATACTCCATTTAAAATTATTGTAGAATATTGGCTATATTTCCTGTGCTGTATCATATCCATTTTTAAAATTTTATCTTATTTTTTAATGTTTTATTAGAGCATAACTGCTTTACAATGCTGTGGTGGTTTCTGCTATACATCAGTGAAAATCAGCCATAATTATATTATGTCTCCTCCCTCACCTCCCTGCCTATCCATTTTATACAGAGTAGTTTGTATCTCTCAACTCCTTATCCCTATTCTGCCTCTCTCTATCCTTTCCACAGATAGTAATCACCAGTCTGTTCTCTATACCTGTAAGTTTGTTTCTGTTTTGCCATATTCATTCATTTGTTTTATTTAAAAAATCTAAGCTCCATTTTAATTTTAATTTTGTTGGAGTATAGTTACTGAACAGTATTATATAAGTTGTTGTTGTTTAGTTACTAAGTAGTGTCTAATTTTTTTGCCATCCCATGGATGGCAGCCCACCAGGCTTGTCTGTCCATGGGATTTCCCAGGCAAGAATCCTGGAGTGGGTTGCCATTTCCTTCTTCAGGGGGTCTTCCTGACCCAGGGATTGAACCCAGGTCTCTTTGCATTGCAGGCAGATTCTTTACCACTGAGCCACCTGGGAAATCCATTATATAAGTTAGAGGTACAATACAGTGATCTGCAATTTTTAAAGGTGAGAGTTGGACTATAAAAAAAGCTGAGCACTGATGAATTGATGCTTTTCTCTGATGATTAGTGATGTACAGCATTTTTTTCATGTGCTTATTGACCATCTGTGTGTCTTCTCTAGAAAAGATCTACTCCAACCCTCTGCCCATTTTCTAATCAAGCTGTTATTTTCTTGATATTGGGTTGTATGAGCTGTTTATATATTTTGGATATTGGGCATATTATTTGCAAATAGTCTTTCATTCAGTAGGTTTCAGGAAACCAGCTAGAAGCCTGGGCAGTTTCAGTCTGTTTTCTCTGCCATGTTTTGGGAATAAACAAGTCTGCATCTTCTTCACACACAGAGTCTAGGTTTTATTACAGTCCTTCTATAGGCCCACTGGTTTTCAAACCAGCTAAGAGGACATGTCCTCTCAGTGCTGGGCCCCAGAGCTGGGGCACCCAACACGTGGATGGAACCATTCACTCCCTAGGTAGAATCTGTGAGTCCTGTATTCCCTCTCCTCTCCTGTGTCCTCTCCCAGAGGTACAGGTCCTGACCTGTTTGTTTCCCTTCCCTTCCTACCCAATTCACCTTGGATTTTTCATACAGTCTTTGTTGTAGAAACCTCTTTCATCCGGTCTCCAGTCAATTTTCAGTGAGAATTGCTCCACATGTAGATGTGTTTTTGATGTGTTCATGGAAGTAGATGAGCTCTGTGTCCTGCTCTGCCATCTTGACCACCTTCATCCATAAATAAAATTTTTAATGCTGATAGTGTTTAAGTTTTCAAAGTTCTTTTAAAAACATTTTAATAATAACCACCTTAAACAATTACATTACATTAGTTTATGTATGACAACTCTACTATTAAAAATCTTTACACTTAAAATTTCCCCATCGCTTTTCGCCACTGCGGCTGTGGCCATGAGTATGCTCAGGCTTCAGAGGAGGCTTGCTTCCCATGTCCTTCGCTGTGGCAAAAAGAAGGTCTAGTTGGACCCCAGTGAGACTAATGAACTCGCCAATGCCAACTCCCGCCAGCAGATCCGGAAGCTGATCAAAGATGGGCTGATCATCCGGAAGCCTGTGGCTGTCCTTTCCCAGGCTCGATGCCGCAAAAATACCTTGGCTCGGTGGAAGGGCAGGCATATGGGTATAGGTAAGTGAAAGGGTACTGCCGGTGCTCGAATGCCTGAGAAGGTAACCTGGATGAGGAGGATGAGAGTTCTGCGCCGGCTGCTCAGGGGAAACTGTGAATCTAAGATGACTGACCACCACATGTATCACAGCCTGTACCTGAAGGTGAAAGGTAACATGTTCAAAAACAAGCAGATTCTCATGGAACATACCCACACGCTGAAGGCAGACAAGGCTCGCAAGAAGCTTCTGGCGGACCAGGCTGAGGCCCGCAGGTCTAAGACCAAGGAAGCCGGCAAGCGCCCTGAGGAGCGGCTCCAGGCCAAGAAGGAGGAAATCATCAAGACTCTGTCCAAGGAGGAAGAGACCAAAAAATAAAGTTCTCCCCCTCTTCTCTGTACATAGTGGCCTCAACAATTGCATAGATCACTCATTCAATAAAAAACAAGACTTTATCTGCCTAAAAAAAAAAAAAATTCCCCATCGACATTTAGTTTTTAAGTAGAAGTAACCATTTTGCATCAATTCATTCGTTCAGTGCCATAGTTTTATATACTTTCCCTCTGTCCCCTCTTTTTCACATTTACTCAATGTTGAATGTATATTATGAGTTGAAAATTATGATGTTACACATATTATTTTATTAAATACTTTAAATTTTCACAATGATGTCTAACCGTCACAAGAATGTAAGAAGGAAACAAATTATCAAAGGTAATTTTAAAATGAGAAAGATGAGGACATCATATGCATTTTAAATAAGCTAAGTTTGTGAACATGAAATGAACTTTGAATTTATGCAAGGGAAGAAGAAGACAATATTTTTACAGAAAGAAAAGCAGGGACTAAGAATCCCTTACACTCATAAATTCTAGTCATATTGCTCTCACTACAATTTTTAAGTTTAGTGCAAGAGTCCGTTAAATGTTGCTGACAAGACCTGATTAAAAATTGACACAGGCCATAGATGTTTAATGGCTGGCACTTACACTACTCTTAATTTTGTTTCTCTATGAAGAATGTATGAGGAAGAAAGCCTTATTGAGTGAAATCTAGGCCAAGCAAACATATGGTGGTGGAATTTCTTTTAGATGAAGTAATTTAAAACTGAGATTCTCAGAGAATTTTTTTCCCTAAAGACTTTTATAACAGTATCCTTAAAATCTGGTCATGACAAACTGGAGAAAATGATCCTTTAAAACCTGAAAATATGCTCAATTCACTTCTCTGAAATCAGTCCTGGGAAAATATCCATATCATTTTGGAATAGCAAACAGCTTTGTCTGGTGGAATTTTGCCAGAAAAGAAGTAATGTAGACAAGTTATGCTTTATTGTGGAAACATGAAGCACCCTTCTCTGCTAATGATTCATGAACAGGAAGATGAGGCATCCTTACAGCTATTACCTCCTCTCTTCAGCTGAAATACCATGCTGTTCACGTCATTGTATACATGTTCACATTGGTTTAAATGTGTTGTCACTGTATATTATTATACACAATCATTAGACTGCTATTTGAAACAAAACAAAACAATACCATTACATCACAAAGCACCAAGTCTGTTAACTATTAATTCAACCTAGCTGAACTTCCACATTAATATTACCTTGGTAATGTTACTAAGATAAATTTTATTTAAACAAAGCAAGCATTTGCAAGACTTGCTTAATTCTCTGCCACTTAATAGCTAGACATTATTATTACAATGAATAGCATTAGTAATAACAATTATCATACAATTGCCCCTTATAGGAAAATGATCACTGTGTTCATCATATGGTATTAAATAAGGTACTTTGCTTCTATCATCTCATTTAATCTTTCAAACATTTCCAGAATGCTATTTTACATATGAGGAAATTGCAGCACAGAGAGTTTAAGCATGTGGCCAAAGTCACACAACTAAGAATTAACAGAGCTGTGATCCAAGCACGGGGAAGATTTAGTACAGGTTAAAGCAGTAGAAGGCTTGTCGGAGGAAGCATCTGTTAAACCATTTTAAAAGCTAGTCATGATTTGATGAGGAGAATACATTTCTGATGTGTGGAACAGTATGGCCACTAAAGGGGGCCACTAAGGCAGAAAATGTGTGGGAAATACATGCGTATGAACAAACTTGAGAGATGGATGGTAAAGAATACAGAGAGAAATCCTACACCACTGAGACAATACAATGATTGTCTCTGCAAGAAAAAAGTTAATTAGTATCAGGCTAATATAATTACTTGGAAAAAATGTCTCTCAAGTTTAGAGGGGAAAAATCTTTGAAGAAGATTACCTATATTTCATGTATGAGGACAGCTGACAGATATTTGTAGAAATTTGTGAAATGAGAAAGAATGTCACTCTCATAGTCACCCTGGAGAAAAAAAAAAAGAGAATCCCTGAAAAAATTTGCTAACTGAGGAAACAAAGCTCTCAAGATTGGGTCGGGTGTGCTTAGTAGAAAGAAATCAGGGATGAGAGAGCAGTGAAACTTAAAGCTGTTGTATAAAAGTTTTTAATATTATTTAAAATAATGCAGATTTCAAATAGTTCATAAAAGTAAAGATAAATAGTGTAATGTAGTAATAAAATCCGAGATAAGTTCTTGAATCATTCCAAGAAAACAACAACAAAAAAAGAGATATTAAGGAGGTGATTAGGGATAAAATAAAGTTTTATTTCAAAATGAGGCAGTGAGTAGTTATGCTTCCTTCTGAATAATATTAGAAAAATACATGTTCATATTTTAAAATATGAAGATTATTATTAATAGAATTAAAAAGAAGATATATAACACCTAACATTAAAAAACAGCGTGAGTTCAACAACCATGTATAATACATGAAGATAAAAATAAAAAAGCATAAAAATTGCTGAGGAAATAAAAAATAAAATCACAAGTAAGTTAACTTATACAGTTTTACAATAAATATGATTGAGTACAGATTCTTATTAAGATAAATGTTATACAATAATTCAATTATATGCTATAATGAAATAAAAATGAAATGTCACCCTAAAAGAAAATTGAAATGAATATTGAAAATATTACCCAGTCATTGAAAGCAGAAGGAAATTAAAGGCAGCAATAATAATAACAGAACATATAATAATTCAGGGGAAAGGGATTAAGAACATCAGGAGAATTACATATATTTGAAAATGTCCAATCTACAATAAAGATTCATACTGTTCATGGGGTTCTCAAGGCAAGAATCCTGAAGTGGTTTGCCATTCCCTTCTCCAGTGGGCCACATTCTGTCAGACCTCTCCACCATGACCCCACTGTCTTGGGTGGCCCCACACGGCATGGCTTAGTTTCATTAGTGAGACAAGCTGTGGTCCTGTGAGCAGATTGGCTCGTTTTCTGTGATTATAGTTTTAGTGTGTCTGCCTTCTGATGCCCGCTTGCAACACCTACTGTCTTAATAGGTTTCTCTTACCTCGGACGAGGGGTCTCTCCTCAGGGCCGCCCCTCCTGACCTTGGACACAGAGTATCTCCTCTCGGCCCTCCCATGCCTGCGCGGGCGCCGCTCCTTGGACGTGGGGTTGCTCCTCTCAGCCACGCTTCTGCATGGTCCTTCACAGCCATTGCACTTTTCAAGCTGGTTTTAGGAAAGGCAGAGGAACCAGAGATCAAATTGCCAACATTCACTGGATCATCCAAAAAGCAAGAGAGTTCCAGAAAAACATCTATTTCTGCTTTATTGACTATGCCAAAGCTTTTGACTGTGTGGATCACAATAAACTGTGAAAAATTCTGAAAGAGATGGGAGTACCAGACCACCTGACTTGCCTCTTGAGAAACCTGTATGCAGGTCAGGAAGCTACAGTTAGAACTGGACATGGAACAACACACTGGTTCCAAATAGGAAAAGGAGTACGTCAAGGCTATGTATTGTCATCCTGCTCATTTAACTTCTATGCAGAGTACATCATGAGAAACGCTGGGCTGGAAGAAGCACAAGCTGGAATCAAGATTCCTGGGAGAAATATCAATAACCTCAGATATGCAGATGACACCACCATTATGGCAGAAAGTGAAGAGGAACTAAAAAGCCTCTCGATGAAAGTGTAAGAGGAGAGTGAAAAAGTTGGCTTAAAGCTCAACATTCAGAAAACTAAGATCATGACATCTGGTCCCATCACTTCATGGGAAATAGATGGGAAACAGTGGAAACAGTGGTGGACTTAATTTTTTTGGGCTCCAAAATCACTGCAGATGGTGACTGCAGCCATGAAATTAAAAGACGCTTACTCCTTGTAAGGAAAGTTATGACCAACCTAGACAGCATATTAAAAAGTAGAGACATTACATTGCCAACAAAGTTCTGTCTAGTCAAGGCTATGGTTTTCCCAGTAGTCATGTATGGATGTGAGAGTTGGACTGTGAAGAAAGCTAGTGCGGAAGAATTGATGCTTTTGCACTGTGTTGTTGGAGAAGATTCTTGAGAGTCCCTTGGACTGCAAGGAGATCCAACCCGTCCATCCTAAAGGAGATCAGTCCTGGGTGTTCATTGGAAGGACTGATGTTGAAGCTGAAACTCCAGTACTTTGGCCACCTCGTGCGAAGAGCTGACTCATTTTAAGAGACCCTGCTATTAAGAGGGATTAGGGGCAGGAGGAGAAAGGGGCGACAGAGGATGAGATGGCTGGATGGCATCACTGAGTCAATGGACATGGGTTTGAGTATATTCTGGGAGTTGGTGACAGACAGGGAGGCCTGACGTGCTGCGACTCATGGGGTTGCAAAGAGTCGGACACGACTGAGCGACTGAACTGACTGACTGACGATAAAGATATACTGATCACAGACATTAACATTTCAGACTACATAGTTCCAAAATGTGTGGAGCAAAAACTATTAAAAGTACAAAAAAATGAAAGGGAAGAAGTTACAGGCAAATAAAATAGGAGGTTTTTCCCTCTGAGTCTTTTTCAGGTCAAGTAGACAAAAAACACGTATATATTTACACATATGTGGTACCGCCCTCATGGCTCAGCAGTGAAGAATCTGCCTGCCAGTGCAGGGGAAAAAGGAGAGGTGGTTTTGATCCCTTGTCTGGGATGATTTGCCAGGAGTAGAAATTAGCAACCCATAATTTTCTTGCTTGGGAACGCCCTTGAACAGAGCAGCCTGGTGGGCTACAGTCAGTGGCGTCGCAAAGAGTCAGACACGACTGAGTGACTAAACAACAACAGCGATGCTCATGTATACTCACCTAGAGCCAGGCATCCTGGAGTGTGAAGCCAAGTGGGCCTTAGGAAACATTACTATGGCCAAAGGTAGTGGAGGTGATAGAATTCCAGCTAAGCTATCTCAAATCCTAAAACATGATGCTGCTAAAGTACTGCACTCAATATATCAGCAAATTTGGAAAACTCAGCAG